TTCAGTGCATCAGTAATGACATGATTTAGTGAAGAGTTTAACTTCGAACAAAGGAAAATTGAGCTAATTCTTATTGAATAATTTCATTGAGATTCTGAACCGACTTAAGTTAGACCACCATTAAGAACCTTGAAGTACTAGATGGCCATTCCTCCCCAGTATAGGAATACTCCTCAGCAGTGAGCGTCCACAACCCCGAATATGGAAATCGAACCAAAGACCTTCGATCACGAGCGAGAAAACCTAACTTTTAGGCTACTGAGTCGTCATTCAAAAGCCTTAATGTTTAACTTCATGAATTCAATGAAATTCAACGATCTCTACAACCGCTTACACATGACTGTTAAATTTTGTTTGAGATGACTAATTGCTATCATAAATGTTTGTGATTTCCAAATCAAAATTTTAGTTCATTTTATAATCTACACCTAGTGAAAAGATACTTCCGATTTCCAGTCATTCTTCAGTTTTAATAATTTTGAATATACATTCTGATAAATCCATTATTATTAAATATTTTTACCAAAAAAAACAATAATCTGTATATGAATTAGTTCACTTTTTCAGTATGATTTAGTCATTAACGTAAGGTTTCATTAACAGTTTTCCGATGGATATAATACCTAATAATAGAAGTTAGATTTTAATATCGATTTATGTAGGACTTCTGTTTTAGTTATCCTGTTCTATTTTTATTAGCAAGAAAAAATCATTTGTATGTTTTATAATCATTATAAATCCAGATATTACTAATAATAGCAATATTCTGTATGACATTCGTCAAATATTTGAATGAAATCTCAAGGATATGTATCCAGTAAAAACAATATGAAGATGAGACAATTAGAATAGAAATGTTCATGAGACACTCAGATATCACATATAACGAGCAGTAGAAATATCGTCTTATGGTGCCCAGAACGTTTAAAATGATAAAAGGACATTTTTTTACCATAGAGTAAAGATAGAACTGTTGAACGCATAAGATGTTTGATTCTTCCTCTGTACGTTGTATCTAACGGGCAAATAGACAGCATGTGCTATGAGGAAAATATGAAAGGAAGTTGAATTTCCGGAACGTGTTATATTTTTGTTGTATAAACATTAATACTTTATTTATTGTATGCTCTTGCTTGTAAGCTTTTCTGTGATGGATAAACTGTTTTACCTTTTTAAAGTTATTGTCAAATTATTATAGATCCATTACTCAGTTCTGTTTCAAATATGAAGTAGGTTGCCCATACTGTGACTTCTTAAATATGTTTATTTATGGTCAGGATTTTACTGAATATTACCGTATGAACGATCCGTAAATTTGAACTACGTAGTTATAGCATTTTTACGTTCTGTGTTGTTTTACTATGGTTATTCGACAAGTGATCATGGGCAAACCGCATTCTGAACCAACAGTAGTTAAGTATTGATCTCGGCTGCTTTCCCACTATCGTCGTGCTATTGGTTAGCAGAAGGTATTAGTATAAGATACATAATTTAAGCGAATTAATCAATACCCGGACTAGAATACAACTCCCGTTCTGCATTGCGGTCCGATCACACAGACAAAGAACAACTCAGGAAATTTGTTTTAATTCCGTCACATCAGTGTCCCTAAATCTTACCACTAAACTTTTAGTCCTAAATAGAACTTTGACCTAGTGACATATCTTATGGACAAACCAGTCTTCTAATTCCAATCAGATTTTTACGAGAAATTTATTCATCCATATAGTTACAGATTAATTTTTCGGTACAGCTGATACCATTTCGTCATGAAAACCCTAACCAGGAACAGATAGGACCTACTAAAATCTAATTGGGCTATTATAAGGGTTTAAGAAGATGAATGATTTATATCCCTGTGAATGAATTTAATTCTCTGTATTTTTAACTTACATTTAGAGTAATTTGTAGAAGACTTTGATAAATTAATTATTTTTATAGAACTTGTTTACACTATGTAGTACTGTCCTTATTTACCTGAAATTATCCACACACAAAAAGCCATTTCCCGATTGTGTTAAAATAGGATGAAAGTTCGTTGCGGTAATTTCAAAGTCATCCCAATGTTGTGCACCTAATGTATATCCTTTTTATTTATTCCAGTGCAAATTTTCATGATGTATATCAACGTTTGAGTACCCTAAGATGCACTGAATGGTTTTTTGAAAACTTCCTGGAGTATTTTTTTCATATTGTCTCCAAGTCTTGAAATACACTAGCATGATAGGAACAATTCAGAAATGCATACTAATATCTTAACGAAAGTTAAACCGATTTGTAATCTACCGTTAAGGATTTCAAATTCATTGTCCAAAAGCATTTACTATTGTTTTTAACAGAGGTACATTTACTGATATCTTAATTAAAACTGACCATCTATGCTCACATTGGTAATGTCCTACAACAATAGCTGTTTATATTAGTCTGACAAGTTTACGGTTGAACGTTCTCCGTGTTCAGTGAATGCGAAGTATCCAGTACTTTCCGTTCATCTAGTAGATGTGTGCTCATTTTACTATGTATTTTTAAAAGTGGTTTCATTTCAAGCCCTGTATTTATTTTTCATCTGGCGTGTTACATTGCGCTGCACACATATGTCTATAGTGGAGAGTTGTGCACACCACCACACTCGAGATAAAAACTAGTGAAAATTACACTCAAATTTGTGGCACTCCCTGAACTAACGGAAACAAAAAATAGCCGAAAGCGTTGATCACTTCACATGTACTAAACACCAACAAAAATGTGGATAACCTTAGTATATATTTACACCACTATGACATTGGATGACTATATTGCATACATACAAAATCAATCATTCGTAATCCTCAAAGTTAAATTTGATTTGTGGGAAAGGAAAACATTATCCATCATAACCAATATCTTTTGTGATTTTGTTTAATCACTATTTTTCATCGATGTACAAATGTAGACCCGGTGAAATGTCACTGAGTGTTACATATTCACTGATCCTCATCAAGTTCAAGGACAACCAACACGTATTAGTTGATTGCACAACATGGTGATGATCGCACTTTTCGTTGTACCTACTCTTACTAACACATTTTTGTAACAACTTCGTTTGTGTTTAAGTCATCAAATCACCCACATAACCTGGATACGACTAAAGGGATAACTCAAGTTAAGTACTAACCGTCGGATGTGACTTCGACCTTAATTGGTTCCCAATCATTCGAGAACTTTTTGATGTTATCGTCTTACTAGAACTAGAACATCTTAAGTCGTCCATTCTCATAATGTAAATCGTAAATCGAATTCAATGCGAAAATATTGGAGCAAGTAGATTAATGTATAATCATACATACATTCACTTTAAATGACTTTTTCATCTCATGATCTCTATTAACTTTATCAACTAGAAATGTGGCCTGATGTTGCTTTAGGCTGGTTTATGGCATAATTTGAATAATCATGAATTAAGTCTGTTTGTTTACATTATTGGACGCATCTCATTGATCTCCAGACTCACAAGGCCACTTACCGACACAGCTAACAAAAGCATTAGTGGTTCGCTCATAGTTAACAAACTTATCGCCTAGCGCAGGGCGATAATAAAAAGTCCGCTATTAAATCACATACCATTAAAGAAACCCACCTCATCTACAAATTATCATCCTACATGCGTGACCACGAATTGAATCGATATTTAACAACACATCACTGTACTGATATACAAATATATAGTGTACATTTGTGATACGTTTAATGAACACATCAATATGGATTCAAACACTCCCCGACGACTCATTATACCACGAGTTTTGCTGGTGGTTTTCAAAGTACTACTATTTATGGTAGTTACATTGTTTTTATATTAGGGGACCAATCAATCAGACAATGGGTTTACTATGTCACCATATGCGCTTATTTTTTTTACACCACATTTAGGCTGACAACCCGGCAAAATGGACTTTGTTAAACAGAAGCAAAACGCTCATCTTTTGTGTGGTGACTATCACATTGATTTACGTTTGAGCATAAGCCAGTCCTTTAGGAAAGCATTTAGCCCCCAAATGCCCTGGTACGGCCGAGAGTGGGGAGAGTCCGCTCTCCCTCTCGAAATGCTCTCACATGGCCATGCGTATATAGCCTCTGCCAGGGAAGTCCTACTCACTGCCTTCTCGTGGCGGGGGTGTTGTTTACAAAAATGAGAGGACGAGAAGCGAATGTCTGGCGCTTTAACCGGACCCCAAACCAATGGTGCACATGGGCTCCAGTATCCTGCGGGAACAAATGACGTATGAACCAATCGTTGGTCACCGGCTACCATGGGACTGCATCTCCTCACGATGCTCCACTGCCTTGTGGGTCAGACGTTCAGGTCAAAGGCTCGGGGTGTGGCCCCCTAAGACAACCACCTGCTTCGGTTTGGGCACCCGGGCAGTATCACAGCCCTCACACAAATCATTTGAGATATGTGTGGCGCATATGTATTTTGGTGCCTCCCTGTACCTATACTTATGTGTTAAAATAAATAAATAAATTAGGAAAGCATTTCAACATACTACGAAATTCACCTCAGACACATATGCGTTCCCACCAGTTTTTAATATGGACTTAATTTATAAGCCAGCTTCCTAGTGTCGCCGCCTAACAACCAAACTAGTACCAAAACAACTTGTGCAACTCAGTTTACCGGATATTGACGATCCAAGTAAAAAGTATTTATACATCTGATATATATGGTGTTACAATATAACCTACACTTAAATACTGACTGGCGATCAAGTTACTGAATATTTAAGAGCAACATATATACGGTGTAGTGTCATTCCATAAAAAAACCACTTAAGAGCTCAATATTCATTCCAAAAGTAACAGAATAATCTACTAATGAAGCAATTAATCATGACTAATAGTATAACGTTAAACAGAATCTGCGTTATTTCACGGATAACTATCTAGAACTCGACGAAGAAAACCCTTTCCCTCTATTGATAATTGGTGAACCCATAACAGCTAATGCAGAAGAAAAGAAAACAGTCTGGAAGCTTTTATTCATATGTACGAAAATGTCAAGGGATTAAATGTATTTAAATGGAATCACCAGATGACTGAGATCAATGTTTCTTTACCTAGTCTAGATCTAAATGACACAGTAACAGGTTATTTTTTTATGAAATCTTACCTGGACATGACTGGTTAGGCATTTTGAACCCGGCTCCACCCATTCCGAAAGGCATACCTCCTAAAAATTTATCCACATTAAATACATGAGGAATATATACTACGAAGCTAACTGTATTTATAAATATGTTTGATAAAATAAACAAGTTTTATTTTGTTATTTACTTCAGATACATAGTTGAGTAAGCAAAAGGTAGACCGATAAGTCTTTAATAAAATGAACAATTGAATGTTTCGACCCCAGTGAGATGTAGCTCGACTAAGAGTCATACGAGGTTTTAGAATAGCGTTGTTGAACCCCCTTTACTGTGTAAAATTCAAAAGCGCAACTCACCAACTCAGTGGAGTCGAGTGCGAATTCGTAGCACATGCATTGGTCTGTAGACTGGTGTAAATACCAGTGAACTACTTCTACAAGCTGCAGTATTATTCACGATCATGTTAGCTGGAACTTGATATCAAGAACAGTTCGGAAAATGTTTTATTAGACAAATTTTATATTTAAACGTCTGCCTCACAATACTGGACGTGAAGGAAAGAAAGAAACCATGAAGGAAACTTAATAACTGTTATCATGTAACTGGTACGGTAAGTCTGATGATAGGTGAAGCCAACTTCACTAAAGTGACGATCTTACAAACCAAAACTTAAACCTACGTACCGTTTATGGGATATGTTAAGTATAGTATTTTTTGGTTCACTGAATTTTTGAAACGTCACACATACATGGATTTAGTAAAAATCGGACCAAGCTGCCAGTGCGCAGATCTCTTGGTTATGATAAGGGAGATAAAGGTGTCCTACGACTGAAGACACTAAATAACATTCCAGAAAATCATTACTAATGTCAAAGTCTTTTCATATTTTATCTCTCTCTACACTCAGCCTATTCGACCTTCTAAACTATGACTATGCTGCAACTGATGGTGTTACGTCAATCCTTCTGCCTAACATTTCGTTTATGTTTGCTTACTGTTTACCTTGATGATAAGAAACGCCCCAGCTGAGTATTCGGCAGCAAGTGATTGTTTACAAGTATAAACTCAACAACGTGTCATTCCTGTTATGCACAAAGCGAGTGTCTGTGAAACACTTGACGTAATTTTTCTGATAAACAGATTTTTCCTTAATCTGAATGAATTAAGCTTGCATTTCATGGCTGTTTAGAAGCTTCAGTGATATCCGCTGTTCAAAAATCTGATTACCCATACCAACTACAAATCCGTTAACTGGTACATCGAAAAGAAAGTGCACTTTAAGGTGTATATAAGTTTGTAGATGTCATTCAAATTCCAATCTGTCTGTATGGTTGACTTACCGGGCATAGCACCACCACCACCACCAAATCTATTCTTCATTTTCTCAATGACCTTCATTACTTTGGGGTTATTTTTGTACTTATCCATGGCAGCTGGGTTTGAGCATACTTCGCTGAATGCCTTCATCACTTCCGGGTCCTGAAAAAGGTGATGCGACCATGTAAAAATGGATTAAACATAGCTTTTTGATTTATAAACCAAAAACTCTAGATTACATGGGTCAACTTCTATCAGAGCTGAATTTATTATTAAACCAAAAAGTAGGAATTTATGCTTTAAGCAATTCTATAGGCCTTTAATCACATAGAAGTCAAGTATAACTCGTAATAATACCTCTCGGAACTAAATATCTGCTATTAGCAAGCTATTAGATAATTAAGATATAAATGGTTATGGATGGAATAGTGAGTACCGTAGATTAATTTATTTTGCTGTTTATAATTAAACTGCTAGAACCTCAACACTCGAATTATCTTACTAGTTTCTTTATACTACCGAAGACTAAAAATACTACAAATTCTATACATAACCGTTAGGAATTTTTAAACTAGATAAAACAGACTGACGATATTTGGTAGTTTCTAAAATACATGTTAGATTCTAAATTTTCTGACTTTAGTCACCAGACTTAATGATAATTTCAAAAACACGAGCAAGTGCTGTGCTGAATGAGTTTAAAAACTATATGATATGTACCTGAATAGCAGACATCAATTCTGGATCATTGAACAGTTGTGAAAACATATTGTCCATGCCTGGAATGTTACCGCTTTCTGGAATGTCAAAATCGGGTTTTTCTGTATCCTATTCATGAGAAAAAAAACGAGAAAATTGAAAGCTATGACAAACATGCACACTCAACCAATAATTATGATGAAGTACGAAACATCAGCGATACATCGGTAATAACAAAGAACATTGATTTCGAAATAAGAAATATAGGTTTAACTTTTGTAAGCGATCTGATAAGTTTTAAGATAACCACTTGGGAGCTGTTCAATTTTGAACATAAGGGATTCAAAGTGACCTTATTTATAAGCTTCGTATTTAAAATGACTAAAGTCTAAGTTGAACTCACTTTTTTTTAAAAAAGGTCGACTTGTCAACAGATAACGAAATCAATGAACGTTTGCGTGAGGACAATTAAATATACACACTTGAAAATAAATACATATGAACGGAGAATAGTACACATTACAAAAACAACTTTGGTTCACATTAGTTTACTCTCAGGCATTGAAATAACTCACTGAAAAAACAAATTTATACACAGAACCCTTTCTCCAAATACAAACAAAACAACTTGACCTACTCTCTGGGCGCGTTCACGTTCCTCTCGTGCCTTTCGAATTCGTTCGCGTCTTTCTTGTTCTAGCTTTTCTTGTCGTTTACGCTCATACTTCATGTTATGTTCGAAGATTCGTTTGTGCTGTTTGGAAAACAATACCAAAATAACTGTAACAAAGATGTGCGTAAAATTGAAATCAAAGTTGTGATTGTCCTTTAATAGTCCAGGATGTGGTCAGAAGTTGCTTTCGTTAGAGTTGCTACACGTCACATCATCAAGACTAAAATCTAGACACTTAAAAGTAACACGCCGTAGTGGACTAGATATAGAGAAAACATGTTAAAGGGTGAAACCACAGATTACGGCCAGTATGTAAGGAAATAAACACATGAATTTTACCATCCGGTTTTTGACATTTTGTTATGTGCCGTGAAGCAGCAATTACCCTAACAGTCAGGTCCGAAATATGCAACTTGCTGACATCATAACTTTAGCTATGCCACAAAATGGGTCAGATACCCCGAAGTTGCCATGGAAGACGGATCAGGACTATGAAAATGTTTCAACGATCTCAGGGAAGTCTAAATACTTAGTAATCGAACCGTCGCTTTAATACATTACAGCTGACCTCAATGTTATTCACATGACGGTATCACCACTAACGGCTAACCCATGTGGGTCTTTTAGACATGTTCAATAACCAAGACGTAATAGCGCAGTGTGTAGAATACTCGCCTTCATGCCAAAAGTAGATCACTTACACCCAAGAACGATAAATTCTGCAAAAGTCAATCGGAATGTAGGTACGCGTGCCGATGAACTTTACTAAGTCGTAGGAATACTGATTTTTATTTTCGATGGGTTAATGAATTAATGAATTAGGTAAGTCCAAAAACGGAGGAGGAACATCTGAAATTGATTTCTGTTACCAGAACAGGACGCTCTTTCAGTCAACCCGGATGGTTAGGGATCAAGATCAGTAGGATGTGGTCGCACTGACCCTTGGATTATCAGGACGTCGGAGGTTGATACGCGTAGTGTTTATTGTAGTCTCAGTATTTTTGCCATTCATTTGCTGAACTTCTCAAGTTCATGTATTTAGCAACTCAAATATGAGCCAACTGTAGGATTTGAGTCTACGTCTAAATTACTCTCAATCTTTACTAGACAATCCCAAACCGGTGTATGCATTGGTAATGTCAGCAAAAGACTGGGTTCCTGAAGACAATAGATATACTAAGTATACTAACCAGGTAACCTGCCACACTAAGGGGAACAAATATGCAAAATTTACCAATATAAGCCATTTTGAATCACTTTAGTGACTAGATATATGTTAGTGTACTAGACTAATGCACATTTTGTTATAAACAGTAATACATTTCATGAGTCTCACGAGACATAAGTATTCAATTACGAAGAATTACCTTTGGTTCGATTTCCTTTATCGCTTCATTGGCATCATCTGAGTAATCTAACTTCAAAGATGTCTGTAGATCCCGATAGGCGGCTTCCCAATTACCAATCATTCTGCGGAGTAGAAATATTTAAAACCAGAGCATACTTATTAGCAAATCCTCTCCATTTGTAAGGTTGTGCAGAATCAGGGTTTAACGAAATAGCTTTGTCGCAATCTGCAATAGCATGGGACGGCTTTTTCATTCGTACAAAGCAACTGTGGAATTGCTAGATAAAATGGTATTTACCTCGCACGTCGAGCATGAAATAGCGAGGACTGAGGGTTTAGTTTAATTGCTTCTGTGAACAAATCAACAGCCCCAGTAAAGTCCCCATCAGACATTTTAGCCATTGCTTCACATTTCTTTTCTTCAGCTTTTTCTCTCATTTCATCAGTTACTTCTACCGAATCGTCACCCATATCTAGGTCCAGGACAGGTTCCTTCGGCAACACCTCATCATCAAACTCTGAAAAGTGGTAGTAATTACCGTCAACACCTACCTATTTCAGATTCTGAGGTCTCATCTGCACCAGAGTCGTCTGAAAATGAATTTTCAGCAGGTCGGTTAGGTTGTGAAACAGGAACGTTAGCCCCAAGACTGTTTGCCAGTGAACAAAACCAGAAATATACCTTTTAAGCCAGTCTTTGAAGAACGACAGTTCAGGGGTGTCAAGGATTTCAGGTTTCTCTTTCAGTAACTCAACAAATTGCTTAAGCAGTGCAACCCTCTCCGGATTCATGCTTACGAAAACGCGCTCTACAGAAATGACCAGAACTAGCCTATTCAACAAAGACTAGTTCAAACAAAACCAGATAGAAAATCCTAAGCAATCACTGGTTGATATAATTCATTGTTTTTCGTCAAATATGAGTCAAAACCAATTTTATATTCTCGTGTACAAAATTTTCAATTCAGTTGGACCTGCAAAATCTACATAAACTTGTTGTCATTCAGCTTATGGACGTAAATAAATCCCTGAAACAAATAGTTCTGTAGGTCTTTGACATTGATGTTGAACTTATTAGTTTTATTGTACACGCTCCAGCTGAAGACGTTCTGTCGATCATCCTCACCAAGTCACGAAAGGGTACGCTGTGAAGTGCATCCCTCTCAACAACCAGTCAGCTTAGATCAGGCAATTCTCGACACGTCGACTATCTTCCAAGTGTATCTCCAAAATCCCTTGTTCTCGACTTCTGGTTTGACTGGCTTTGGAATAATCGATTATGAAGGTATTGCGAACAGCAGTGTTGTCAAGGTAGTCATACTCGTGAAAACCCTAGTGGTGAGCCCGACATGATACGAAACACTGAATGAAAACTCGTGAGCCTTTTTCTTGTCGCGACAATATATACGTATTATTTTATGTATCATGTGAATTATGTTGTGTTATCATGTATTATTCGCATATTCAATTGATTTGTTCCTAAAAAATGGGAAACCAAACCCAGACCATCAAAGATTAAGGCACAAAATACGCTACAAGTACTCGGAGTTGAACAACGCCTTTTACCAGTGTGATCTCTTTTAACCCAAGCGTGCCAACGCAGTTAAATCAAAAGTCAGGAACGAAGGGGTTCGAAGATGTACTTGATAGAATATCGATATATCGAGAAGTGATCGATCTAAGCCGGTTAGCGGTCGTAGGAGGTGGGAAGCATGGCGTACCCACTCATGATCTGGTGCGAATGCGTGACTGAGCACCTCCAGATAAGTGAGTCCACTAAAACTGATGCGGTTAGCACCAGATGTCGAAGACCTGCAGAGCTATTGATTTGGGGGATTTATTTATTGCTACACCTTCATGCCTCCTTGCAAGTCATACAATTCTGAGGATCTGTTACAAACCCAAAAATTTCACACAGTGTAATCACAGTAATTATTCGCAGACCAAAGATGCAAACAACATTCTGACAAGTATGATCGTTAATGTACAACATGGATTTACATATGAGACATTCTCCCGTTAAGATTATCAAGACGAACAAATCAGTATGTCTGTGAAAATTTACAAGAAAATGTTCCTGGAGTCACACCCTGTAAATACAGAATTAATTTGCGTGAGAAAACTCCACAATAAGTTACGTACGTCATGAGTTATTGTGTGCTGTAAAGACTACGTTGAAGAAAAGGGAATAAGTTAGCAGGAGGACGGGTGATTGTAGGAGGTCCACAAAGCATGTTTTCTCCAATGGACCTAACTAAGCGTCGATTGTTCTGCACTTAGTTTACTGTGATTGAATCTAGCAAATAAAATGGACGAGCTGCGTGAACTTAGAAATGCTAATAATACTCATCTGATAGGAATATCTGAAACCTGGATATCTCAGTTTACAAACCAGGAGCTAGCGATACCTCGGATGTCTTTGTTTCGCAACGACAGAAAAACGAAAACTGGGGGTGGAGTAGCCTTATGCGCACAATCTTGTCTTGAGATTCACCAAGTTCACAACCAAGAGTTTATCAATCTTGAGCAATCTGTATGGTGCTCAGTAAGATTGTCTACCACTTCGATGCACCTTGTTGGGGTCATCTACAGGGAGTTCACCGCTGACATCGAGTACGACAATCGTATGCTGGAAAGATTATCACGATCTACACATCTCGGATTCACTCATACCCTGATTCTAGGGGACTTCAATCTCCCTAGAGTCAACTTCGCGGAACATACGTATATTGAAGGGGAAAACTCAACTGAAGCTCGGTTCTTCAACCACAATGAGTAGCTACGATTATTCGCTGGAGAAACAGTCAGATATTTACAAACGAAGAATTCCTAGTTGATAATCTCTCAGTCCTGGCTCCCCTGGAAAAAGGCGATCACGCCGTTACAGCTTTCAGTTTTGTCAGCAAAACTGAGCTAAGATATCCCAACAACAACAGGCGCTGGAATTTCAAATGGTTGGATGTGTCAGCTCTACAGGACTATCTGCAACAGGTGGATTGGGATGTTCACCCTCAACTTGATGTGGATGCTCACTGGAACTTCCTATTACACACGCTCTTATGTGCTACAAAGCAGTGAGTTCCTCAAACGGTCCCCAAAAGCTACATGCAACATACAATAATCAATAACCGCACTCTTCGTTTGTTAAGCCGTAAAAGGCAGTGTTGGGCAGAATACAAACGAACCGACAACAACGACGATTACAGGCAATACAAACATATAAAGAACATATGTACGAAGGCTATAAGAGAAGATAGGCTTCAGTACTAGATAAAGCTTATGGATAAATTTATTTTCAATCCGAAAAGCTTATTCCGTTACGCAGCCTCTCTTCTTCAAGCCAAAACTGGTGTTTCTCAACTGCCAGGTCCTAATGGCCCGACCAATAACAAAGACAATGCCGCTAACCTTTTGGCTGAACAATACTCCCGGACATTTCAACCGTGCCACATCTACTATAATGATGAAAGCTCCATCTACAACCGCACAGAACTCTCCGTAGTGAAACTGAGCGCTGACTTGGTGCTCCGTAAACTACGACACCTAAGAAAAGACACTTCTCCTGGTCCAGATATGGTTCATTCTGCTGCACTGAGGGAAGCAGCTTCAATCCTGGCAACACTGCTTAACGTGTGTTCTCACACTCGCCAAGTCGAGGCAAACTGCCGGATATTTGGAAGCCGGCTCATATTACACCAATCTTCAAAGGAGGTCGACGTAGCGAACCTTCAAGTTACCGACCGGTGGCTCTTCTCTCTATACCTTTAAAAATCATGGCGTCCCTGATATGTGATGGCATACATGACTACTTATTGTCCTTAAATTTCTTCTTACCCCAGCAGCATGGTTTCAGGAAGGGTTACTCCTGTATGACCGACCCGCTGGTTGCGGTGGACAGATGGACAAGTATCCTTGATTGCAAGGGGAAGGTGGACATAATTTACCTCGATTTCTCTAAAGCTTTTGATATGGTCAACCATATATGTCTTATCAATAAGCTCAAACGATTGGATATCAAACCACCTCTAATTGACTGACTCACTTCATATCTAAAAAATCGACATTTTAAGGTCAGGGTTAACTTGACTTTCTCACACGCTATGGAATGTCCTAGTGGGGTCCCCCAGGGCTCAGTGCTAGGACCTATTCTCTTCCTGATTTATGTAAATGATCTTCCCCAACAGGTAACGTCAGACATATTGCTCTTTGCTTATGACATGAAACTTTGGAGAGAGATACGCAACCAAGTGGACATACTGGCACTTCAGGAGGATCTGACTCGACTTCAAAGTTGGGTAAACGATAATGGACTTACCTTTAACACTTCAAAGTGTAAAGTAGTCCATCTGCGACATATTGCAGACTACAGTTAAAACTTAGGGAACTCCTCTCTAGTAGTATTCCGAGTCGAAAAAGATTTAGGAGTTCTGGTACCCTACGATTTTAAGTCTTACGTTAACTGTGACAATAATGCTTTTAGAGCAAACCTTGCACTGGTAACATGGACGCCCATTTTCGGTCAGTTTGACGGTAGAACTTTCCATATAATCTTAAACAGTTTTATTCTTCCACATTCAGAACAGGGAAACATAGTATTTCCTCCTACACTCCAAAAGGATAAGGACACTCTAGAGCGTATCCAATGGCGAGCCATGAAATCAGCTCGGAGACTCAAATTCAAACCTTATGAAGAGCGCCTCTAATCACTTAACCTTTACCCATTAGAGTATAGGCATCTTAGTGGTGACCTTCTAATGGATTACAGTATCCTTAACACTCCTGGATATCTTCTTAGACACCTACTTAGGCTTAGTCCCAACACTAACCTAAGGGGTAACACCCAGAAATTGGAGATACAACATAGTAGAACGGACTGCAGGCACAACTTCTACTCCTTAAAAGTTGTCAAATGCCGGAAATCACTGCCGACTGAGCTAGCCCAAGTGACTTCCCAGGTGTCCTTTAAGAGGCGACTTGATCTATTCTTAAGGACTAAGGATAGTATCTTACCATGATTTACCAATTTATTTTTTCTCTTTTATCGTTAATATACCTAGGTTCTTGCCTGAAAGTATTGGTGATCCACTGCTACTGGGCACGGAAACCCGCTAAGCGAAAGCAACTTCTATTTCGTCCACAACCATTTGAACCATTTAAATTTGAACCATTTAGGGTGAGGAATTTTCGTATAGCGCGCTATCAATGAGGGATCTTTAACTTCTCAAGGCCTTTCCGTATACTCGATCATAGTCTTGAGTTCATCACGTTTATACAGTGTTTATTGCAAATTAGGTATGCTGTATATTTCTCATCATATTGCCTGTATATAGTGTCAATCAGAATGGTAAAAATTATCTATGTACAGTTTTCAGTGAAAATATCTTACATCAGGGAAATCCAACAGTTAGTAAACCTATCGTCTTTGTTGTAAAATGCACCCAAAAGCATCGTTTATAAATAAATTGGAAGCGTGGCTCTTCAGATTATGATCCAAACTCAGGATATTTCCCTAAAAGTCAACAAATAGGGAGCAGTTTTGTTTTCCATGATCTCGATAATACGAAATCCTTTTGTATACAGACTATATTTTATGCACGGAAGTCTTCAAATGTTATAGTCGTTTTCGTGTTTTTTCACAGTAGCTACAAGTTCGATGACCGAACAAGTGACCTGAATAGGTGATAACAGGAAAATATGCCGTTTGATATGGTAAACTTCGTCTTCTCATTGCATTATCAAAATTTTTAAATTAACCTAATCTATCTAGGTTGCATTTTTATATAAAATGTATTCTGTAATACATTTTCCATTACTAGAGT